GGGTTTAATAAGAATACTAATTGATATCGCTTAATTGTGTAGATTAAGTTTTGTCTAAGTGTTATTACACATGTGAAACTTGTGGAGCACACATTAGACCACGTTAACACTTTTTTGTGACAAAAGGGTTAAGATAACTAAATAATTTAGTCTATTTGATTAATTGCTTAATTGTTTGTGAGTAAATATGTAATTTTATATACATGTGTTTTGAAAGTGTTGCATATTGTAAAAGAAGGATGTAGTATATTGGAAATGATTTTAAAACAATGAATTTATGAAAGTTTTTTTATATGAGTAATTTATGGTTTTGATACAAGTATGAGATAATTATAAGAAGTGTGAATATAATCATAATAAGGAGTGAGAATTTACCCATAGGAAGAAATAGTAAAAGTCCATATGGCATTTATCTCATTAGTGCCTAGTAAAATATGATATTAGAGATTATCTCCTTAGTGCCCATGTAGGGTGTGGCATTAGAGATTTGTGCTCCTTAGCGACAGTGTGATACGGTGTTGGAATAAAGAAATCCCGAATCATGTGTGATAAGAGAAATCATAGTCCAAAATTGTGATATAACACTTTTGGCAAGGTAATTCTACCACTAAAGGTGCGCTTGAGCCAATATGTATGTGCGCTTGGTCAGTAGAGCCTTTGGTTTTAGTCAGGCTGATATAGAGGCTCAAATAGTAGAACGATCATGGTAGAATGAAAATGACTTGTGAATATGAAGGGCTTATGTTTGAATATACTAAATAGTGTTTGTACATATATATATATATATATATATAAACTTTACTTATTTACAATTATGAATGTTAATTGATAGTTGTGAATTATTCTGTTGCTCAGTTGTTTATCTCATCTCGTGGTTATATTTTACAAAAAAAGGCTCCACGAGGAGTAAAGGGAAGGAAGGAACTACCGAGGATTGAAGAACTTTAGTTTGTATAGCTCTTTCCCTTTTTTATTTTGGTATTGTAACAAATGAGTTAAGAATTTTATGCCAACTTAGGATTACATGCATATTTTGGGTCACTTGAACTAATATATGTGATTTGTGAGTATTTCGGCTTAGGATATAGGAGATTATAATGAAATTACTATTACAAGTTGAGATATTAAAGCAAGTGATGTTTTAGTGATGCTTTACATGTGTGTATGGCTAAAGATTGTTGTGTGAAATTATATTGTCACCCCTTTATATTGCTGTGAATTCGGGATTTTGATGGCTAAATTGTGCATAAACTATTGTTGTGATACAATTTGTCCATCAGGTTGTATATGATCCATTTAAGTTGGTTAAGTAGTTTCAAAGGTATTGGCACTAGGTTATAATTTAAATCCTAAATATAATTTAAAAAAATATTGATGGGATGATAATCCTATTTTATTGAGGATAAAGAAATATAAAATAATAATAACATAAAATAATAAACTCTAATATTAATTTGTAATAGGCATTAGATTTTTTTGCTTTCCCTTCATGTCCTATGTAAGCCTTTGACCAATACCAATCAAGTCAATCACATCTTTAAAAGTTATATTTCTTATCAAGAATTTAATCCCTACTACACAGAAAATATAAAGATTTTGAATGAATATAAAACATTAAAAAAATAAAAATATAAGAATTTAAAATATCGAGAAAAAAGTATAGAAACTTATAGTAAAACATAAATAAAATGCAGGGATCAAGAGGTATGTTTTTTTTTAAAAAAATAATAACTTATATTATGAAATAAAACGCCAAGTACACTCAACACTTGAATACTCTATTTATTTAAAGGCGGCCAATTTATATTTAATGGGTTGAAGTTTATGAACAATGATAGAAACATTTACAATATTTAGTGGTGGGACCAAAGTCAACGCAATCTCCTCGGGCCGAGCTTCCAAACTTTTCGGTGCACAATCGTTCACAGACACTATTATCTTCGCAAACCCCAGATCGATACAGTACGACCATGCACACGTTATTACTGCTCTCATCACTTGTCACCCTCGTAGCTGCAAATCATTCGAAACTCCTGTTAAATATATTTCTTCCGTTGGTGCAGTATTGCAAGATATTTTTCTCAAATATTATATTATATTAAATATAAAATATTTCGAATCTGATGTAATTAATACAATTTTTTTAAAAAAGTCCTTCATTAGGAGTATAATTAATACTCTCTCCAATCTTACATTTTTTAAGAGATTAAATGTTAAAAAAAATGTAAAATATTTTTAATATTTCAAGATATAATTAATATTTTTTAAAAAAATAAATATAATAAATAAATAAATTTATATTTATTTTAAAGTGAAACACTCTATTAAATAAGATTACATGTGAAAAAATAGTGTTAGTTTGAAAATAATTAACTATTTTATTAAGAGATGAGATTAGGTTAAAAATATTTTATATTTTTTAATGGAGAGAGTAAAATTTTTTTAATTGAGACGATATATTACATAAAGGGTAAATATAAAAAATGTATAATTTTAAATGTCATTAACTAACTTATATAATATATAGGAAATGTAAATGAATTAAAAGCACATTATAAATGCTAAACAGAGAAAGTTAAATATATAGTTACTTATACTATTGTTCACAAATTATAACCATAGCTAGAGCCGGTAATTCGGGCTAAGCCCGACGGGCTAGCCCGAATTGGCCTGAAAAATTTTAGGACCGGGCTTTAAAAAAATATTTTTTACGTTCGGGTCTATTCGGGCCGGCTTGAATAGGCCCAAAAAAATTCAGGCCAAGCCCAATCGGGTTTGGGCTTGACCCGAATACCCGAATAAAAAAAATATATTTTTAAAAAATATATAAAATATAATAAATATTAATTAATTCTTTAAATGTTAGATCATTTTATACTAAAATACCATATATTTAAGTCCTAGACATCGTTTAAGTATTAAAAAAATATATTTTATATTTTTTATAAAATAAAATAATTAATTTCAAATTAAAAAAATAATTAAAAATAATTTTAAAAATTAAATTCGGGTATTCGGGCTGCTCGAAGCCCGAAGAAATTCGGGCCGGGCTTAGCTATTCTAGCTTTTCAAGGATACGGGCCTGTTCGGGCCGAGCCCGAATAGGCCCAGCCCGCTCGAATTTCCAGCTTTAACCATAGCCTAAGTTGTTTGTTTAATTGGCAAAATACAGTTTATTTATTTATTTTAATTTCATTTTGTTTTAAATTCTTATAATTATATTTTGTTATTTCCAGTTCCTTTGGTTTGATTTGTTGGTAACATTTATCTCTATAATCTTAAAAATACATAAAAGGACCATGAGTTGGTATTGACAGAGCTAATGTTAGTGACGTGTACTTAACACTGTTAATCCTTTTGTTCGCATGTACTTAATATTGTCTTTGTCCCTCACATTATATTTAATCCAAATATATAAGAAAGCTTTTCTTTGCCCCCATACCTTTTGTTTTTTTATCATACCTGGTCAATTATGTTTATTTTCATGTTTGCAACATTATAGCGAAAAACTTAACTCTATCACTATCAGTTCATGATTGTCATGTAGATTTTTAAAACTATAAGGAGTAACATTAGATAAGGATCAAACTAAAGACATTGGTAACAATAAAATAGAACATTAAGGGCTAAAAGTAAAATGTAATATATTTTCATGTAATGAAATAGACTAATAATTCGTAACACACACATATACATGACAAGAAATCAATAGGATATAGCTATTGAATTGAACCTGAAACGATGATAAGGACAATCATGAAAACATAAATTGAAGAAATATTCTTGGCCATCCCCTCGTCAAGAAGCAGCTCCAACTCTATCCAATTTAAAACCCTGTTTATTGATTTTGATAGTTGCTGGGGCAAGTTCATATATATATATAATATATATAGTGGTTTAAAAGGAGAACTGAATTCATTGCAATTCAATTAATGGCAATTAATTTGGTCAAAAAAATTAATGGCAATTAAAATAAAGTGTAGCATTTAATGACTCTTAAACAAATTTGGATTCACAATATTATGCAAAATGCATGAATGGAATCACTAGGAATGCATTTGTAACGTTAGTCAAATTTGAACATTAGTGCGGCTTACAAGTACTTATCTGATCCTATTTATAAGTCACTTTCAACATGTTTCATCAGTAGTAAAGAAAATTTTAAAACTAATCAACTCTATCTTAAAGTTTAATAAATTTTTAACTTTACCTTTATTAAATATACACACTTCAGTAATATATTTTCTCTCTCCTACATTCAATGGAAGGTAAAAAGAAAAATTTATAATAAAGATTTAATAATATGATTTATAAATAGGACCAAAAAATTTTTTTCTTGCTACCTTATAAATAGGACTTGAGGGAGTAGTCAAAAGATCATTGATTTTTTTTTTATTTCATTGTTTGGCACCTTGAAAAACTTGAGAGAATTACCACCTCTTGTTCAAACTAATATGAACTCTCTTTTGTGTAGGATCATTATTATCAACAATGGCAGCCTCACTAGTACTTTGAGAAACCTTTGATATATTTATTATTTAATGTGATTGTAAATCCTTAGACTCAAACTTGAGACCTTAAAGTAAGTCAATTAACTCCCTTGGTTAGTAAAACCAAGCACCCCTCAGTTAAAAAAATTACAAATAAGTTTGATTCAAACCAGAAAAATTACAAATAAGTTCCCTCAAAATTATAAAAATGTGCCATTGAATAAAATGAATAGTACCTATCCTTATTATAAAGCATATTAAAATTGATAATGTTTGATATAAGTTATCTGATGGAATATTAATTATATTTTTTCAATATTACACCTATTTAAGCTCATTAATTTTGAGAAATAATGTGATGCAAATTTGAAAATGTTCATTTAAATAGGGACAAAATTGAAAGTTTATTATATTTTCAAGCAAAATTAATAATTTAACTATGCACCTCTCCTTGTCTTTAGTGATGTAATAACCCCAAATTAATAATAATAGTAGTAGTAATAATAAAAATAAAAATAAAAATCTGGTGGGTATTATTTTGTAATTTTATCAATAATCTTGGGTCTTTTTTGTAATTGTTCTCCATTGTCTTTTTACTTAAATCTTCCTCCTCTTTGTTGATAAAAAGAGACAGAAACAAAGCGAACGAGAGACAAAAGCAGAGTGAATGAGCGCGAGAGAGAAAGAGAGTTCTTCAAGCTTCCACCAACCTTTACTCTCCATTCTTCTTCCTCTGTCATTCATCTCGGTCAGGCCTTTTGTTTCTTCCACTCTTCCTTTCTCTTTCTTCTCTTGTTTACTAGTATGTGTGAGTGCAGTAAAAAAATACTGCTGCTGAAAGCTTGATGGAACCACGATCTCCTCCTCCCTTCTTTTCGTGTGTGAAGGCCGAGTAGTTGGTTTGCTATTATTGGAGGTTTGCTTGATGATTTCTTTCTCTTCTTACCTATGCTGTTGATGTCTTCTTCCATCCCCTATTCCACTGTGCTAAGTTAGCAAATTGAATTCTTCATTCTCTTCTTTATGTTGCCGGTGTGTGTATGTGCTAAACATTAATATTTCTCTTGCTTTATGTGTTAAATTTTAAACTCTTTTCTTTCCCTTTTGATTTAGAGCTATACCATTAAAGGAAGAATTGTTTCTTTAGCTAATATTAAATTGAAGGCTTGAATTTTGTTGCTGCACAAGGAAATTATGATATGGGTGTGTTATAATATTTATGTTAATACTTGGCAAAGGATGATTAAGAAGTATAATTAGGATTATATTATAACAATACAATTAACTTGGCTAAGAATAAAAATGGAGAATTTGGGAGGCATAAAAGAGGATATATGGAAAATTGAATTAATTTGTAGAACGAATTATTAAAGTTTTATTATATCTAATAGGGACTTTAGAAGAAGAGAAGCTTAATTGAAGTTTTGAGAAGAGAATTTTAGAAACTTGACAGCATACTAGTTAAGTAAATAACGTTCCCCAATATATATATATATATATACAGAAGCAATGATATTTCTTTTACCTTATTTAATTACTTTAATTGTTTTGAATAGATCTTTTTAAATTGTATCTTATGATTAAGTTCATTCATATGTAACTAATTTGTTTATTATTCAACTTTAATTATGTAGGCATTTTCATGGTATTATATATATATATATATATATATCATACATGCATGGATAAGATAAATTATTGGTGAAAAGATCATTTATATCTTATAAATTAAAGAACAATTTGAAATATAAGGGTTTTTAGATTCCATGCATGCCAGAAATGTTTTATGGGACTGAATACAAAACGTTGGTTGCTAACGATAGTATCATTAGCTCTTGGCGCACCATGGCATACCTAGCTAGCAGGGCACATTAAAAGTGCTAGCACCATGTGTCGGCCAACACACATTAAATGGAGGATGTAATTCATGGATATAATTCACATATGTTATTCGTGAGCTTTATGCTTACGCCTGTTTTACGTGTCTTCTAGCCATGTTGAATGTTACTTACTCTCGTGAACTTGTGTCCACACCTGTTATTCATTCTATTTCAGTCCTAATAGAAAGGAAGTTTCCACATTATATCTTCATCCTTAAGAACTATATTTTTATGAATTGTTTTATAAAAAAATTTAAATCTATTTCTTAATTCATTAATTATGATTATTTTGTTTTATTTTATTTTTCTCTCTTCTACTTATGTTACTTAATTATCACGATAAATTGTGTTGTTATTTTTTAATACCATCGATAATTAGATTAGTCACTTGTTTCTTATTACATGTGTTTATAGTTATCATTTTTATTTATTATTACTATTATTTGGAGACGTTATTTACTAGAAGAATTTTTAGTATTCAAATAGTAGAGGTGGACCTGCTCTTCATTTGACCTTGTAGGATTCCTTGAGACAATAAGTATTATGTTGCTCTGTTCAAATTATGGATTAATGTAAATATTTAAGTATTTTGGTTTCGTTCTAGATTCACTCTATAAATCATAGAGGCAAGATCCTTAATTAAATTATTTTAGGTTTGTATATATATATATATATATACACACACACTATATTGGAGTAGAACTCCAAATGCTGCTTTGATATTTTTTTTGATAGGTTGTAGAGATTTCAAGTAATTCAACTTACAGGGGAGACTCTGTCAAAATTTCTACAGCAAGTTTGAATATTTTGTAAATACTAGTATTTGTTTAATACAAATGATGATTATATGATGAGATTAGATAATAATATGTCAAATATTATATGGGTTTGGGTTTATGGAATATGAGTTTTCTTATATTCTAACCAGTCACACTTTAAACTTTAAGGGTGCGACAAGTGAAGTAGTTAGAACTGCCTTAAAATAAAAATAAGAGGAGGTACCAATGAAGGCCCCAATTTTCATTAACTGTCAATAACTGCCAACTAATTAATGTGGTTTCCTACCCATGTAAATGACTACTACAATACTCCTCTGGTCTTATTTATAGGGCAGAGAGAGAAGAAAAAATTTTGTTCTATTTATAGGGTATTTACCAATTTTCAATGCTCTCTTTTACATTTTTGCCCTTATTAAATACTTTGAATAAAAATATCAGTAATAAGATTTAAAAATATTTATTAAGAGCAAATGTGAAAACTTGTTAAATTTTAAGACAAATTTAATAAGATTTAAGATTTTTTTTTAGTCAAAATATGCTGAAAGTAACTTATAAATAAAACTAAAGTGAGTATATTTTTTACCAAGCTAACAAGTAACAACCAAGGATGGCATATTTTGGAGATTGAGAAAAGTGCTAAGCTTGGTCTTGAAAATTGATCTCCTTTGATTTGAAAGTGCCTAATGAATATTTTCCTTTTTAAGATTTAGCAGGAACCATCTAAAAAGAATTTTTGTATAAGAACAAGGCTTATATACTTAACCTTATATATTTAATTTTTTTATCTAATCAAAATAAGACATGTGAATTTTAATGTGTTAATAATATTAATAAGAAGAATTTGTTATAGATTAAATAATTTATATAAAAGTACTCCATCCGTTCAAAAATATAAGGCATTTTTTGATGAGTTTCATATTAAAAAATGTAAGACATTGTTAGTCTTTTAAGATGTAATTATTGTATTTTTTTTTTTAAAGTGCCCTTATTGACAATGACTTTATAGATTAAATAATTTATATAAAAGATATACTCCCTCCGTTCAAAAATATAAGACATTTTTTTAAGAGTTGAATATTAAAAAATGTAAGGCATTTTTAATCTTTTGAAGTGTAACCATTACTTTTTTTTTTTTAATTGTCTCTATTAATAATAACTTTATATTTATTGTAAGGTATTTAATAGGGATAAATATGAAAAGATATAGTTAATTAACAAGTAGGTAACTACTTTATTGAGGTGGGATTCAGTTAAAAATGACTTACATTTTTGAATGAAAGGAGTACATGCTTTGATTTAATTGAAAATAAGTACCTTAAGTATATAAAGTTTCTCCTCCGTACAATTAGTGATGAGTTTTCAAAATTTCACTCAAAATCTTTGAAATTAGAACCACGAGTTATTTTTTATATGGATTAAACTATATCAATTGACCTACTAAATCTCTGGTTTTATACTATATCTTATAAAGGACATTTTTGTAAGTATGACTGAATGTACAAGAAGGGTTGAATCATGCAATAAAAAAATTGTGTGAAGTGAAGAAGACACTAATAAAACAGTAAAATAGAGTAGGAGTTGAGAGATACAATCATATGCTCGAGAGTTAAAGTTCAATAATGAGTAAATGCAACAAACGATATTAGTAGATAATTAATATTGATGAGTGACGTGTGCCGTTTCTAAACCACCAAAATTGCTTGCATTATGACAATTTGGGACATAGGATATGTTTAGAAAATATATCAACCATAAAAATTAATGTTGATCTTATATCATTCTAAGTGGAGGGATTAATTCAAAGTAGGTTATTAAAAGATTAATAAACATGCATTTTCTTTTCCACTCAAAAGATAAATATGATTGATATTATAATTTAACTGAAAATTAGTGAAAACATGTTAATGAAAGTATCTCCTTCAACTTAGTCAGTCATTAGGCCCAAAAAAAATAAAAACTTAGCCAGTCATGACCAAAGTGTATATAATTGTAAGGTAATGAATATTATTATGTGACTTGAACCGAATATTAACAAGACTATATAAGAAACATAAGTTGTCATTAGAATATGAATGGATTGGAAATACCAGGTGTCTTCCTTGTCATTAATTTTCCTTACCGATCCACTGCGTTCATTTTTCTATTTCAATAATTAGGGATGATGTAAGCGTCCATTATAAATTTAAATGAAATTAAATAATTTGACTCTTGAAACTAACTTGTTTGCATTATTGTAGATTTTGCCCATTTGTTGGTTTCCTCGAGCAAAAACAAACGATATGGATTTCTTTGCCCGTGTTTCACTAATGATAAAAAGACTATAAAAGAGACAACAGAGCAATACATAAACTAGAGGCTCAATGAAGGCGACAAGAAGTATTATTTTTTCATTTTTATCAATCTGTAAATAAGTGTGTTTGAATTTGTTCATAATGGTATTGAATTTTTGCTCAAGTCACTTTAATATTTTGCAAATACACATTAGTAATTGATAGTATTTTTGATGAAGAGCAATTCTATCCTCTTTTTATACCATCTACATTGTAAACTCAATTCGATAATGAAGAAGTCTTGCAAACAATAAGTATGTTTAAGTGTGCTTAAGAAGTCTTGTAATATATTGTTCTTTGTAATTAAGTTAATAACTCTGTGATGTTGATGATAAGGCTATAAGAGTTGGCCAACAAGTCAGGTTAGGCAAGGCCTCACATAATATTAAGGATCCTATATGGATAACGCCAAAGATAAGTAATACATGTTTTTATTCTATATAATTTTGATTATAGAGCTTTCTTTAAATATAATTTTGACATTAATGTTGTGTTTTTCTACAAGGCCATCATGAACCCCCTACTAATTTGTACGGTTTTTATGTGTTAAGACATGCAGCTTGATTGAGTTCACCAAAAAAGTAAATTTAATTTTATGTTTTATCTATTTTTTGTTTTTCTTGGAATTGCTAAGTTAATTTTCTTGTTCTTAATCTTTTCAGATGTTCAATAATCCGTCTCTATTTCTTGCACAACAATCATCCTTTGGAATAGTGAGTTGTGTAGTTGTGTTCACATCAGAAAAAATTGGTGTGGTTGTGTGTAGTTAGACAATAGTTGGTGCAATTAGACAATAATTCATTTGATTTTATCAATATATTTGATCATACTGGATATCCTATCTATAAGTTTTCTATAACCTATCACTGTTAACATCAAAATCGAGATAATCAAAGGACTAAACCCTCTAAGGATTACCAAGTTTTTCATGATTCACAAATGGGAGAAAAATATTTTTTCCATAATTTCAAATGGAGGAAGTAATTTTAAAATATTTGCAATGGAATCCCAAGATTTTCAACATTCAAAATACTTCCCTTCACTTGTACTAAATTCAAAATTAGAGTTTTAAACCGATGCAAAAGCCTAGAATTCAAATGAGACCCAAAATATTTGATTTAAGGCTCAAAATTATGAATTATATAGAATTTGGCACTTGCGTTGTGACTTAGTAGCCTCTATACCGTGCGCCGCGACTCATTACATGATATTTGACAACAAATTTTTGTTGTCATATGATAGCACTAGGAGCAAATTTTTGACGCATCTCAAATTTCTGTCCGACGTTCGATTGAGGTGATTTTAGTGTCTACACGAAATTTTCTCCTGAATTTAGCTAATGGCACAATTTCACACTCCAATTCATTTTCTACAAAGAGTTGGACACTTAAACTTATTTTTACAAAAAATTACAACAATAGTATCCAAACTCACACAAGTGCTAAAAACCTGCACCGACCACTCAACCATATTGAGCTAATTGGATGGTACACCAAGCTCCTATGAATAATTTAAATGGTTAGATATCCTACCCTTTGATTGTAAAAATCTTTTGTAAACTGTCATGACTTAAGATGTCTATTTGCATGGTTTTTCCGTAGCCTTCTATTAAAAAAAATCCTTTGTTTAGATGATACAAAATATCTTAAAGCTAAAAGAGGGATGAACTAAAATTCAAAAGCAAAAATAAAAAATTCAAAGTAACAAGCTTATATTTGTTCTTCTATTGATAAGAGACGAGAATCAAATATCAGAGAAGAGATAATATTAACAAAAACATCAATAACAAAGATCGGGTGGAGGAGGTTTATGGGTGGATTTATTGAAATTTAAATATAATAAAGGTGTGAATTTTAGAGATGATGTTTGTGTAAGAGATTCTGATTCTGCTCTTTGGAAGGATATTGTTTCTGTATGGCATCATGGACAGGGTATGTGGGTTAGACATGTGAAAAGTGAAAGGGAAACTAATTTTTAGGACGAGGACTGGTTGGAGAATGGCTTGTTTTTGGCTAATGAAGTAATAAAGGAGATTCCTGATGAGGTTAAAGGATAGAAGGTTAGGGATGCTGTGATAGGTGGTGAATGTTGGAATGGGAATGTGTTGAAAGATTTGGTGTCGGATGAAGTTTTGAGTAGGTTGCATTTGTTCTTGTTTCCTTGTGAAGAGGGTTTAGTGAATGATTGGAAGTGGCGTATGGGTGCGAAGGGTGTATATACTATGAATGAGGGGTATAGGATGTTGAGTCAAGATAATTGGGGGCAAAAGGATTCTTTTTGGCGATATATTTGGCGATGGCCAAGGACTAAAAGAATCAAGGTTTTTTATGGCTTGTGGCTCATAATTGTTTATTAACAAATACTTATAAAGCTTGAATCTGGAGTGTTAGTGATGAGTGTGTGGTTTATGGACAGCCAAAGACAGTTGTTCATGTATTAAGAGAGTGTATTACAGCAAAAGAGATTTAGGAGAGTCTCATACCTAGTAAGTTGAAGTCGGGGTTTTTTTCCCTAGAATTGAGAGATTGGTTACTTCTAAATTTATCCTGCCGAAGGGAGAAGAGCGGTGGTCTTCCTCGGTACTTAGTATTTGGAGGTACATGCTGGGTGATTTGGAAAGAGAGGAACAGGAAAATCTTTGGCGAGCTAAGCAAACCTCTGAATATTAATGGGTATTGTCATCGGATTTTGGGTTTTGTCAAGAATATGAAATAGGCCATGGAAGAGGTTGGAGGGGATTTGGGTGGATGTAAAGTGGGAAGCTTCATAAGATGGTTCCCACCAAGGGAGGGTGGGTAAAGCAAAACTCTGATAGAGCTTGTAAGGGTTTGGAGAAGAGGATAAGGTGTTGCGGTGTGGTTTGAGATGAGGAAGGGAGATGGTTGGTGGGTTATTGCAAAGACATTGGCTATGGCAGTGTGTTTGAAGCTCAAATATGGGGGGCTTTAGTTGAGTTGGAGATCTGTTGGATGGAGGGGTTTCGAAAGGTTGATGTTGAGCTTGATTCTCTGACTTTGGTTCAGGTCTTGAGGAAGGACGATGATGTTGGAAATAGGAATACTGCTTTGGTACAGAAGGTCAAAAGCTTTTTTAGACGGGATTGGTTGGTGACAATGCAACACGTGCATAGGGAAGGGAATCAGGTGGTTGATGCGTTAGCTGGGCTGAGTTTCGGTTTGGGTATGGGTACGCAGATGTGGAAGATGCCTCTTGAGAAAGTGGGTTGGGTGCACTTGGCTGATATTATGGGTATTCAATTTGAGAGAGGTTGAGTAGGTTTTTGTTGGTCTTTGTGTTTTTCATTTTATTTCTGGGCTTAGGCCCCATCTTCTACCAAAAAAAAAATCAATAACGAAAATATGGAAGAAGAAAAAAAAGACAATCATAATAGTTGATATTTCAAATAATTAAGGTCTATGAGGATTTTGAAATTGTAAAAAAGTTATAACAAAAGATGGATCTAGATTTGGATTTCCATACAATTTTATATACCCAAAATAAAAATTTAGTTCAAATCTCTCATGTATCTAAACGCAGCTAACAAGAAGATGAAAAAGATGTTGAGTAGGTAAATTGGATGAGAAGATCTATGGGCCCAAAACGCTTATCATTAAAAGCTTAAATCGGCTATAAATATGATTCATGTGAGAAATCAACAATACGAGTCATTGTATTGTATTTTAAAAAAAAAAACAATATGATTCATTGCACATTCAAGGACTTGAAGGCGTTGAGGACATGTGGACTTGAAAAAATTCAAAAGAAATAAAGAAGAAAAAAGAAGTTTATCTAAAAAAAACAATATGATTCATTGCACATTCAACTCTTTATTTTAATTAATTACCAATCAACTTAGAAATATGATAGGGATGAGTTTGAAATGTCAAATGCGTACATTGCTGCGGGTCAAAAAAAATTTGTACCATAGCCCATAGATATTTTAGTAAGATCCGTTGAATTGTGATGACACAATAGAAGGCCCAAAACCAAACAGCAAGTTCGTTTCATTTCACCTAATTTATGGACCACAACTTATTATGGCCATCTTTTTGATGTAAAAGGCAGTGTTGAAAGCTACTTACCCATAATTCAAAAAAAAATTATTAAAATATATTTTTAATTATTTAACTTTATATAAAATTTTATTTTAATTTTTTAATTTCATAAAATATATTTTTAATATTTTAACCTAAATATTGTTAGTTTTATCTTAAGAAAAATTTACATTGAACTTTTAAATATTGTTAAAAAATTATCAAATATTGATATATTAAATTTAATTTTTTTTAAATAGCAATGATTGACATACAAAAAAATCATTTAAAATCAACTGTATTAAAATTAAAGGATTGAAAATATATTTTATAAAATTAAGAGATTAAATTGAAATTTTATATAAGTTAAAGGATTAAAAGTATACTTTAATTTAAAAAATTATATATATATTCTTTTTATTTTTAGTTTAGTTGAATTTATGCAATTTTTGTTTGCAAAAAATTGAAACAAAAATTATTTTACACTTCATTTTAATTTTTATTTTTGAATTGAAATAATATATACTAATATAGAATTTTAAGTGGACTAAAGTGTATTGTAAATTCATATTTTAAAGTTAACGATTTCAACAAAATTAAAAGGGAAGTGAATATAATTTATTAAAAATTACTTTCCATGTAAACATTGGTTCAAACATCATAATAATAAATAAATAAGTAATGTTTTTTAAATTTGTCATGATAACTAAAATTATTAAAGAAGTGACTGTATCGCCATTTTTTTGTCACTGCAACGATCACGTTTAAAGTTCAAGATTGTAACTTTTCTTATATTTTTAAGTGGTGTGATCGCATTCAATTTATAATGATACCAATAATAATAGTATACTAAATTATTAAGACACATTTTTTCCCAATATATATATATATGGACACATATATCACACACACACACATAAAACCATGAATCACAGTAAAAAATATTTCAAATTTTATAAGATACTTCAAGAGGGACATTTAATTTAAAATGTCACTTTTCATGCTATGTATTGTATCCGACTATCCATGATATGCCATCAAACATATGAAAAAGTCTCAAAAAAAACTTGTGGGAACAAATGGAGTCACCATATGTAGTGTCTTTTATTTTGTTTCTTTTTTTTTTTTGAGCATTGGCATAATTTAATTTGAAATACAATCAAGCATTAAATGCAAATATTTCTCTTAACAGATATTTGAACCTTCATTTATCACATTGTAATGAACTAGCTCGCTAGACAAAATCCCACTGTTTCATTTTATTTCTTTTAATTGTTTGTATACACATTTATTTTACTTATCTAATTAATTGTTTCTTTTGTTGTTACTTAATTACATTTCAATCCATATATTTTAATTTAGCAAAAACAAATCCAAATATTTTAGGAGCTTAATAAAGTGGATACATTCTTCATTATCCTACTCCCATCTGCCTTATATATAAGTTACTTTTTAGAAAAATTGATTGTCCTTTTTTCAAACAATTTGCATGAAAAAATATAAAATTACTCCCTTTCTTTTAAGTTCTACCATTTTGTATAATCTTTTTATCAGTAGAGTAAAAGGTTACACATGAGAAAGATTATATTCTTAAAAATAGGGTTGATATATAATTTGGATCTTAAATTATAGGTCTAGAGGCGATTTGAATCTTAAATTTTATTTGAAATATTCTAAATTTTAAATAATTAAAATTGATGCAATTTCACCTCACAATTAAATTAAAGAAAATATCTATTTTTTTTTAAATGGAACCTAATATGTGCTTTTCATCAAATTTCACTCTCCCTCTCTTTCCTACCTTTATTTGAGAAAAATTACATATTAAGCCCTTTTAAAAAAAAACTGATGTTTGTTTTAATTTAATAATGAGGCAAAATTACACTAATTTTTATTGTTTAATATTCATAATATACTAAATAAAAATTTAAGGTTCAAATCATCCCTAAACTTATACTTCATGGTCCAAATTACATATTAACTTATGTTAAAAATGATGCATTTAATAAGAATAAATTAAACAATTATTTTCTTTTGTGTACAACATTGGCAATTTAACTATCTCTTTTATTCTAATAGAATAATTAGAAGTAACTTGTATATCAATTCAAGTGGGTATTTGTTATTTGACAATTATTTAATATTTAACCGAACTCCTTGGAGTTTAGGAGTCTAATAGGATCCTATTGAATCTAGCATAAATACACATGGGAATAAACTATAAAAAGGGTTAGCTTCTAGCTCATTGGTCTTTTTCTCGGGCCTTGCTTCTAGATCTCTTTATTCAATTTATATATACATGGGAATAAATATAAGCCTAACACCTAAAAGGTTGGTTAGTTTTGTATTATACGTGAAAGGGACCGCTCTCTAAACTTGGTCCATTATTCATTAAAATATATATTTTTTATTTTACTATGTTGTATGTACTTTGTCATAGGATATTTTTAACAGACACTACTGAGCATTATAATCCAACTAATCCAAGTTAATATTAATGCGTTATATTTTTTTTATTAACATGTTATATTTTTTACTTTGTCTAAGAATAATTGAATATATATATATATATATATCAATTCATGAATTCAAATTATTTTTTGGATAAATTGGCCGACTGGCCAGGAAAATATATGTATATATAATATTTAGAAAATATGAATCAAATTTTTCAAAATTTAAAAGTGTGGCCAATTCACTTTTTCCCTTTGTTTTCCCCTCTTTGATGGGTTTTGAAATTTGTTATGATCACGCATTTATTCTCCTCCTAATTTTTGGGATGCTCTCCACGAAATCTGTTATGAAAGCAAATCAGGCGTAAAATGGCAGCAACCCCATCCCTCCCTCTATCATCATAAATCCCTACTTCAACCCCCTCTTATGCTTTCTCCATTCCTTCTCCCAATCACCACAAATGGAAGAGATAGACATATTAGCTTGCTTTTTCACCTCTCGGATCTATCATCTATCATTGGATTTTCACGTTCTTTATATTTCTCAGTAACATCTTCAGTGAATTATTGTTCATTTATTCATAATCTATGATTTGTCATTGTGGCCTCCCTCTTCTCTTTGCCATGAACATCATTTAGAACTCTGACGCCCTCCTCCTTGACCTGTGATCTCTTCTTCATCGATATGTGACTCCATCTTCCTCAATCTGGTTTGTTAATGTGTGTCTTTAATAGAAAGCGTAGAGATGGAGCGGCTCGACAAGGTAATGGGAGCCAAGGTGTTGACTGAGAGAAGGTGGGTAATAGGGCAGTACAAAACTCATTGCAAACTTGTAAAACTTAATCTAACTTGGACTAACCCAATCTACTCCGGTCTTGTAAAAAAATTGACTTAGATGACTAAAAGACCAACAAGAACTTCATATTCGGGTTGGTCGGAATAGGAGATTGAGCTTTTAGACCACACTTATCTAATCTGATCCTATAAAATTATTTTAATATAATTATAATTATAATGTGATAAAATCAATCGATTTATTACAACTAGCTCTTAATGTTTTGTGATAAATTTTATATGATTATAAGTGCTTGTAATTCCCTTTTGTCATAGAAAAATTTATATACTTAGTCTTATATATTTGAAATGCTTGTTTCTAATTAAATCAAGATATGTTTGTTATTTATAGATTATTTATTATATAATAAAATCTGTTATTAATATTATTAACATATTAAAAATCTACTTGTTTTGATTTGATTGGATAAAAGTACAATAAGTATATAAAATTAAATATTTAAGTATTGCCCATTTGTTATCTTAATAGAATTTATTAGGTTGAAATAAATTGTTGCTTCTCATAGAGAAAAAATGAAAAAAAAATGTGTAAAGTATTAAACTACCATAACTAGTCTTCTAGTCTTATTGCAAGTTCAGTCATGTACAACTTTGGATTAAGTCTAGACTAGATCGAATTATAGGTTGTCTAACCTAATCCTTTTTATGAAAGAGATCAAATTTCAAATTAGATTGAAGTCCTGTCCTATCTATCATTT